TTCGCTTCTGCTTCAATAGGTGCTTTTAAGAGTGTTTGTATCAATTCTGCATGTACCTGTTCTGATTATTGTGAAGCGGGAGCAGCACTTTTTGTAGGAAGGCTGTTGGAGAGCCCGTCGTGGTTTAACCCCAGCTAGCAATTAAGCACCGTGCAGCTGCTCGCTCATTCCCTCCCTACCAGTGGGGAGAGGGAGAGAATCGGAAAAAAAAAAAAAGTAAAACTTGTGGGTTGAGATAAAGACAGATTAATAGGACAGAAAAGGAAAGGAAAATAGTAATAATAATAATAGAATATACAAGACAAGTGATGCAAAATAAAATTGCTCACCACCCACTGACTGGTGCCCAGCAAATCCCTGAGCTGCACTGTCCCCTGGCCAACTTCCCCAATTTATTTAGTGGGCGTGATGTCATATGGTATGGCAAATACCTTTGTCTCGTTTGGGTCAGCTGTCCTGGCTGTGTCCCCTCACAGCTTCTTGTGCCCCCCCAGCCTCCTCGCTGGCAGGGCAGTATGAAAAGCTGAAAAGTCCTTGACTTACTATTAACACTGCTTAGCAACAACTAGAACAGTGTTATCAATGTTATTCTCATCCTAAATCCAAAACACAGCACTATAGCTGCTACTAGGAAGAAAATTAACTTTATTCCAGCTGAAACCAAGACAGAGCCTTACTAATTTTTTGCCCACATAGCATTGTTTATATTTCTCTTTCTGATGTGTTTTACTGAATTGGATCCTCAGATGAAGATGGCCCGTGATGATGGTGGTTTACAATTTGATCATGGTTTTGTCAGTAAGAACTTCACCAGGTGGTTGGTGTTACAAGTCCTCTTGGCTCTGGGATGATTCTCCTCCTCTATCGTTAGATTATTTGTCTGAAAATTATGCTTTATGCAAACTCATATTCTGGTGCTAACTGGATCATACTTAGTGGTGTGATATATAGGAGGTCAGACAAAAAGAACAGTTGGTCCCTTCTGTCTGCCAACTCTGTGAACTTTTGAATAGCCCTTATTCAGCAAGTGAAACAGGCAGTGTTATCTGCAGAGAAGAACCCCAGTACGCTTTATGAACTGGACCAACTTAGAGTGGTGACTTCAAGTTGATCGATCCTATGTGGAACTGGTATTTAGAAGTTTCATTCTGAGAGTGGGAACAGGGAATTCATTTTGATGAACAGAGAGAGACAACATGCTTGCTCTTTACTGCCCTGCTGGCTTGGATTGTATGATAGAACTTGCAGTACAGTCTCTGAATTGTTTATAGCCATGTTGGAAACAAAATCAGTTAGACACCTTTGACTGGCAGGTCTACATAACCAGTAGGTCTACATTATGAAAAAGCGAAACAGCTAGAGCAGGTATAAAAAGGAATGGAAATTGATTTAATTTTTCACAAACTAATGTTTATTCATGACTGAGAGACTATCTAGGTACCGTTAGTATTATCTGGAGAGTGCATATGCATTATTAAAGATTCTTTGTAGACAATAGTTTGAAATAAAACCATATAAATAGAGCAAAACCATAATACACGTGAATTCCGGTGATTCCTTTAAAGAAACTCAAAACATGAATAACATGCACTATGAATCTCAACTCTCTTCAGAATCTCTTCTGAAAGGTCCAAAGATTTGTAAATCCAGGATCTTTACTGATGTTTAAATAGTCCCGTTGGCCCTAAACCAATTATCTGATGCTATCAGCAGATCAGGAAATGCAATTAAACAATAAGGGGACAAATAAAATCTTGCTTAATGTGTTTTTCTCTCATTTCAAGTCTTTTATCCCCTTTAAGTTAGCTTATAGTAGCTATGCCTGTAAGACTTAAATTTTCCCTTTTCATTCCCAAATTCCCTTCATCCCTGTTAATTTCTTAAGAAACCATAGCTGCCTTATTTAAAGAGAACAGTTCAATAACAACTTTCAGAAGGCAGAGGGAGAAGAGTGAGGCAGCACAAGCCTGAGCTAGGGTAAAGACCCTGGGTCTCCAGGAGCCAGGTTTCATTCGTGACTGAGCAAATCCCTGCCGCTCTCTGCACTTCACCTTGTGTCCTTTGCCTTTGTATCTTCAGTTGCTAATCTTTGTGGGACAGTGTCCTCTCTGTGTGTTTACATAGCACTTAGAATAATGGTAATCTTGTCTCAGCTGAGATCTTTCAAAGCTGCTACAATGCAAATATTCCATTTTCTGTCTTTCAATATGTTCATAAAGCCTACTGCATTCTATCAAGCCCTGAGAGAACATGTGGCTTGTCTCAGGAGAGATTTTCCTGTGTTCAGCAACTTTTACCATCAGGACTTCAATTTGAGTTAGCTACACCAATTGTTAAAAATATCTCATTTCTTTATACTGTGTGTTTGATTCATTCCTTTCTTCTCTTCCAACACTTAAAACCAATTAAATATTTGTGTCTGGAGTTTGCATCAACATCTGTCTTGAGTTAACATTGTTTTAAACTAAATCAGACTGATTTTCTTATTTTCATTTGTGTCAACGCCTCCAAAGAGAGCTGGTTAGTATTTTATGTTTCTCTTGCCTTCTTTATATAAACAGATTATTAATTTCTTATGATCTGGGAAGAAACCAACTTAGCAGAAATATTTGTGTAGATGAGGAGCATAGCTTTGCTGATTCTTTGGAATCTGTCATCTTACGGAGAATGATAATTTTTATCGTAACATTAGTCAGTATGTCATACGTTAGGGCATGTGATGCATGTATGTGTGTGTTTGCATTTTTGTTGTGACACAGTGAGGTGTTGACTCTAGCTGGTGCAGAAAAAAATGCTCAGATATATTCTACTGATTGACCAATTCTTCAGTGTAAATATCATCTACAGGCCCAGGATTCTTGAAGAGTGAATTGTTTTTCTCAATGTTATTGATTGACAACATCTTCAAAATACAGCCGTCAAGCAAAGTTGCCTACATGGAATGCACAGCAATTGAGTTGTCTTAGAATATATAATTATTTTTATAATGGATACTCCCACATCCCAGAGCGTTTCGCTATTAATTTCATGTTCTTTGCTGCTGACTCTGCACACGCTGGGACTATTGGGTCAAGCAGCTCTTTCTGGGTGTGCACACTCCAGGGTAAGGGAAGTCAATCTTACAATATTGCAATTTAAAGCTGCTCTGCAGAATATTAGTTTCATAGCCACAAGCTAGAGCATCATTATATTACTCTTCCATCTTACATTAGGTGTAAGTTCCCCTGGAGAAGTGTTTGTGAGTCTCTTTTCTTCCTGACCTTTAGTTTAGAGGAACACATCAACCATCTAAGGTAAAATCTGCCTTTGTGTCTAGTGCAAGTATAGATCCTGCTGAACTGTCGTTCATGAGCACCTCCTTCTGGAAATGTGGCAGATCCTGTAAAGAACTAATTCTGTGGTTTGATGACTAATCAGCATTCTGTCTTGCCCCGCCACAGCCAGTCTAAAGAAGTGATTTATTTGTGTGTCTGAAGATGAAATGCAAATCTTCAGTAATTGCATTCAAACAGCTGTGTAGTATAAACTTATGAAACCACTCCATTGTACTGTCAGATAAAATTGACCATCCCATAGATTTATCAACAGAACACAAAGTAATTATCACATCTAGCATTTGGGAATATGAAGAGAAGGACACTTGAAAAGCCCTAGCAGGAGAATAGAAAAAAGATGCATGTCTGACCCAGCACTGATGGTGGTTTTACCATTAAACTGACTGATAGCAGAATCAGAACAGAATTACATATTGTGAATGTGACTTATTAACTCTTATAGATGTGCTTAGATATCACAAAGACAAAAAGTATAAAGGTAGTCAAGAAAAAGGATTTCAAATACTTGGATAAATATTTATAATTTTGTTGTCTGTGGTTTATGTGCTCACGTTCTATTTTGATCTCTGCAGTCAGGAGCAAAATTGAGTATGACATTTGTGGACAAAACAGAAGATGTGTTTCACAGAGCTACCTGTTCAGCCCAGCACTAATTTTCCTATAACAACAACAAAAATGTTCAAATGGTTTTTAAAAAAAATAGAAAATGCATATTTAAAAAAAATATCCAGCCAGTATTTCTCTGGAAGGTGAACAGCTGTGAGAGGGAAGAAGTTCAGTAGAGAAACTTGGTGCCCGAGTTCTGTCATCACTGCCAGTTGTGCATGTTATATAGAAACAGGTTAATGGAACCTAAAAATCTCATTTAAATGTAATTCAGTTGCAGTACAAACTGACTGAATCCTTTTCTGCTTTAAACCTTAACTTTTTAGAATAGGTCTAAAATCAGGAAAGGCGTGCCGAAGTTTAAGCATGAAAGAGCTTTTGTGACTCAAGCTAAAAATTTGCCTCAATGTTTAATTTAACGTGCAAATAAAGTCAGGGATTCTTTCCACAGCCGACGTCTCCCCCAGAGGAAAAAGGTAAATTGCTAAAGGGAAAAAAACCTCAGTTGCTGTTGGAAAGATGAATGTCTAGAGGTACCACAGTATTTGCAGACATGTCAGATTATGTGAAAGCTGAGTATCTATGAGAAGGTCAATTTGCTTTGCAGTGTTCACTTGCCCGATTGCTTGCATTGCTACATACTGCTGTGGAGAACATACGTACATCATGGATCTTGTGGGAGACTACCTTTTCCCATTCAACCCCCAAAGACATGTGGTTTTTTAAAGTTTGTAAGATCAAGATTGCTTTATAAAAAAATCCAAAACAAACACAAGAAAACTCTCTACCTAGGCAATTTGCTATATCCCTTTAAAATACTAAGTTATAACAGCATCATTTATGTGGTTACATAGGAATCACCCTTCAAATTATGAAACTTCCTCAATTTTTTGCAGATGGGTCTTCTCAACTTACTTTAGCTCCTGTCATGACCCTAGAAAGAAAGTCCATGACTTCTCTGCAGTAGAAGGATCCTGCTGTCAGATCTTAAAGGATCTTAAGAGATGGTATTATACAGTATTAATGACAAAATACTGTAATTATGTTTTTCTTTATCAGTTGCATTTTCAGGCCTTGGCTTTACCACCTTCTACTTAGCTGGAAAGTTACACTGCTTCACGGAAAATGGCCGTGGGAAGAGCTGGCGGCTTTGTGCAGCAATTCTCCCACTCTACTGTGCCATGATGATTGCCCTGTCACGTATGTGTGATTACAAACATCACTGGCAAGGTGAGCTATGGAGACACCTTTTTTCTACTTTTTTTATTAACCTTGTATTTCTTTGTTTTTTTGGTTTTTTTTTTCATTAAATCACATGAGTTAAAACACGATAGTATGCTATAGATTTTCCTTGCTCCTGGATTGATGCTGAGGGTTTCAATGTCTGAAAATACTGCAGGGGTCCTTTATCATTCTGTGTTTTTATATACACAATGTATATCATCATGTTTATCTACATCAGTGGGATTTTTACATCATCATTTTTTCCAAATGTACATCAGTGACGTAGCTGTCTTGGATGGATCCAGCTGTAGGCTGGATCTGGCCCATCAGAGTAGCTCTGTCGTGAGGCCTAGTCCTTGCCTACTGCTTTTCCAGGTACCTGCGAGGTACCTGTTGGGTACATGAGTGATTGCTAATATGTGGTTGCATGTGCATTAGACTAGACTGAAGCATCTGCACGTAGCTAGTCATTGCAAAGATTCACTCAGTCATTTGTCTACGTTCTGGTCATTTATTGCGCATGATGTAATACACTGTTTTTCATTCAAATCAAAGTATATTGGGCATGAGGTGGGTTCATGGCTCCTCCTTGAGAAGTATAGAAACATTGCATACCAAACTACATAGCATAAGTTGTAACAGATTCTGCAAAGTTTGATGTTTTCTGTTCTCTTAATTTTCTTGGCCAAGGTTGTAATCGCTCCCAAGCTGTCAATTCCACACTTTCCAAAGTCAGGTCCTACTTAAGGAAGAGAAATATTTTATCTTCTTGTTACATCTTATTAAAAATGATTTTCCATAGTTTTGGGCTGCAAATATTTTGAGATTGATTTTGTTATACTGACTAGACGTTAGTGTGATGGATTCAGTATGGTACCATACATGTGGTACCAATGAATATTCATTAAACTGTAACTGCAAATAAATGCTGAATGTATTCAATATGGATAAGTAGGTCATTGAAGCAGCATGTGGTGTCTTTCTTGATCGTAAAGTACATCCACAAAGCTAAAGAAACATGCCACACAATCTTAAATCTTACCTTTGTGAAGAAATGACAGTTATTGACAGAATGGGAGATGGCTCTTAAGATTCTAACAGCAGCATTTGTATAAATGTCTGCTCTTGATGAACATGCATCCTTAAAAGGCTACATATAGTGAACAACAGGCAGTATTCTTAAGTGAAGTGTCAACAGTCTGAAGGATGCTTAATCCTAACCTCTTTTTCTCTTACTTCTTATTGTTTCTAGTGGAAACTTTGGATCTTCGTATTATGTGAGCATTCTCATGCAAATGAGGTATATTGCAATGTAACTAGAGCAGATAGCTTTCAGGTTTCTTAGTGAGGTTGAATTAACTAGCACTGACCTTCATAGCTTCAGGGCTATGCCAGAGCATCCTCTCTTCCCTCACAGTAGGCACTTCTGGAGCACAACACCAGTCAGACCAGCTGCATCTGTCACAGGAAGACTGTTGTCTCAGAGTCCTTTAAAATTCAGGTGTGGCACATAACTGATACAGAAGGCTATGCTATTTATTAATTATATGCTTATATTACTAAGTTACAATTCTATTCATTCTATTAAATTAGAACTATATCATGCCTTATCCTCCCACACTGATTCTTTCAGACATGGACCTGGTGGGGAGTCTGGTAGGTTGCCCACATGGCTTCCCTCCAGTGTCTGCAGGTCAACTTACTACTGTCTGTCAGCATCTACACTGTCACTGTTAGAAAATCCTACCATCTATTATTCCTTTTACCATTTCTTGACCCTCTTTTTTGCCGCCTTTGTACCTGTCTTTCTTCACTCATGTCTCCTGCTAAGTAAACCAGCCTTGGTGTTTCTGATACTGTTATGTAGGTCATCTTGGCTTTATGTGGTATTGCGGGTACAGTACTGCTGCCCTTGCAAATTATACTCCCCTCAGGGTCCTGAGTGCTCCTTTCAATTATTTTGTTCATGCTGGTTATATATTGTTTACCTGTTTTCTAAGACTGGTAGGCTGACCCTGGCTGGACGCCTGGTGCCCACCAAAGCTGCTCTATCACTCCTTTCCTTGGCTGGACAGGGGAGAGAAAATATAACGAAAGGCTCGTGGGTCGAGATAAGGACAGGGAGAGATCACTCACCAATTACAGTCACAGGCAAAACAGACCGAACTTGGGAAAATCATTTTAATTTTATTACCAATCAAATCAGAGTAGGATACTGAGAAATAAAACCAAATCTTAAAACACCTTCCCCCCACCCCTCCCTTCTTCCCAGGCACAACTCACTCCCGATTTTCTCTACCTCCTTCCCACCAGCGGTGCAGGGGGACAGGGAAAGGGGGTTGTGGTCAGTTCATCACGCATTGTCTCTGCCGCTCCTTCCTCCTCAGGGGGAGGACTCCTCACTCTTCCCCTGCTCCACCGTGGGGTCCCTCCCATGGGAGGCAGTCCTCCACCAACTTCTCCAATGTGGGTCCTTCCCACGGGCTGCAGTTTTTCATGAACTGCTCCACCATGGGTCCTTCCCATGGGCTGCAGTCCTTCAGGCACAGCCTGCTCCAGCGTGGGTCCCCTGCGGGGTCACAAGTCCTGCCAGCAAACCTGCTCCAGCGTGGGCTCCTCTCTCCACGGGGCCACAGGTCCTGCCAGGAGCCTGCTCCAGCGCGGGCTTCCCACGGGGTCCCAGCCTCCTTCAGGCATCCCCCTGCTCTGGCGTGGGGTCCTCCCTGGGCTGCAGATGGAGATCTGCTCCCCCGTGGACCTCCCTGGGCTGCAGGGGGACAGCCTGCCTCACTGTGGTCTTCCCCACGGGCTGCAGGGGAATCTCTGCTCCGGCGCCTGGAGCATCTCCTGCCCCTCCTTCTGCACTGACCTGGGGGTCTGTTTGGCTGGGGCTCTCACTCCTCTCTCTGGCTGCTGTTTCTGCACCCTCTGCAACTTTTTTTCCCTTCTTAAATCTGTTCTCCCAGAGGCGCTACCACTATCACTGATGGGCTCAGCCTTGGCCAGCAGTGGGTCCAACTTGGAGCCGGCTGGCAGTGGCTCTGTCAGACATAGGGGAAGCTTCTAGCAGCTTCTCACAGAAGCCACCCCTGTAGTCCCCCGCTACCAAAACCTTTCTACACAAACCCAGTACGAAGACATATCATCCTGTTGGTTCTTCTACATAGTTTCAATTAAGTATAGCATATCTCTGTCCCACTGAGCACTTTCTTATCTCATACAGCAGTCAGCATACCAGAGCAAGACTCATCCATGGTTTTTTTCCTCTGTTTTTTGTGTTCATGCAGCATCCTGTTCTCTCATAGCTGCTTAATCACCAACCGTTAGCCTTGACACATTCTTTAGGAGTCTCCTGGTTTCCTGCAGACACCTTGTCTTGTTACAGGGCTCATTACTCTTCTTTGCTCGCTGATACTCAGAGTCGGAGAGAACCTCCAGCACAAAGCTGCTGAACATGAGACGCGTGCCTTGCGAGGCTGGCAGGCAGGACAGACGGCATTTACGAATCTCATGCTCAATGTGTGACGCTTGGCTGGTTTGAACTCTGTGTTAAAGAGAGAGAGAGAAGAGTGTGAATGAATGTGAATGGGAATATACAGGTTTACTCCCAAGTTTTGAATGCACGTTTACAACGTATACTATCTCTTGCCAAGAGTAAGAATTATTTATGTACTGAAACATGTGCTATGAGGCAGATTATTATGCTGTATTTTTTATATGATAGAAGGAAACTACACCCAAAGGGTTGTGACTGTGTCCATTACAGCTGCTCATATTTGTGTCTTTGAAGTTTAAGGAGATGGAGCTGAAAACTCAGCTCTTCCCAAGCTAAGAACAGTGCTGGCAGACATTATCCTGCAGGTGACATAAGCTTTTACCTGAAAGAACTTCATTCTCAAGGGAGAGACTAATTCACTCTGTAATGTACAGCACAGAAGCTCAGGCCTCATCTTTTATGCTCAGCAGAGTCAACTAATTGTGTTAAATTACTTATGGTAGCTTTGTGATAGAGTCTTAACTATGCTGTGGGGAATGAAAAAGGACCATCAATACAATGTCCAAGACTTAGCATACTGTAGGTGAAAGATGGAATAGAGTATCCTTACATTGAAAAGCCATTGAGTGGGCTCAGAACGTTAATATTATGAGTACTTCCTGAGCCCCCTTCAGTTTGGCTGGAGAACATAGTATTCAAGATATTAGTGTTGGTATTAGGTTAATATTAGGATATTTCATTATGAATCCTGAATGTATTGACTGCTTTTTAGTCCCTAGATCTCTGTAGGGGCTTCTAACTCTGAAAATGTTAATTTACACATGAAATAAGTGGAAATTTTGTCTGAAGAAAAGTAAAGATAAATGCTGAGACTGAAAGAATAATCCTTTTCCTTTATGGGCAAAGAAAAAAAAGGGAAAAAAAGGAAGCTGTGGCTACTATGAGCTTAAACAAAACACAGAAATGTTGTCTTCAAAAACAGGAGTCTAAATAGCTGCCTGTGTGTTTGCTCATTACCCCCAGTCAAGGTCAGTGAGCTAGAAATCTTTGGCATAAATCATGTAGTGAATTTGTATTACTATGGTGCCCAAACTGAGGCCCAGAGTTGCATAATTTGTGTGTAAATGTTTTGAAAGAAATTATCTAGGCAAGTTGTCAGCAAGTCTTGAAATACCAGGGAACTTACAGAGGACTGGCAGAAATCTGGTGTTTCTCCATAATTAAAAACAGTAATCATAGGCTTGACCCCACTGTTAAGCAAAATTAAAAAGTGTCTGGAACAGTATTCAATCAGCCACAGTTAAAGGAGGGTAATCTGAGAATTGTAACCGACACAGGTTTATAGAAAATGAATCTTATCACAATAACTACATGTTTTACAAGTTGATTGATGCTGTAATAGTATACTATGGTGAAAATTCTTGCCCTTGGTACCTTTTGTACCATGACAGTTTGATAGGGACAGTCCGAAGAGTACAAAATCAGTCAGCTTCCAGTATGGGTAGGATAAGATTCTGTCTGCTTGCAAATACTGTGTACACACAATCACTTTTAAAATCTACTTAAGTCTCTATTACATTTGTTTGTGATAGATTTCTTATGTCCTTTTGCATGTAGGAAGAGAACATAGGATTGGAAGAGATCTCCTAGGTCATTCAGTCTAGTCCTCTTCCTCAACAGACAACTGTGACTTATAATCACATTTCTTAAATTTATCCATCTCAATATTAAATTTTTTAGGTTTTCTTGCCCTAGCTGTTCCTGTTAAAAGGCTCTTCAGAATCCCACATCTCCGATGATTACAGGCCATTTATCACCCACTGAAAATTGAAGCACATGCCCTTTGTTCTAATGTCTAGACTGACAAACTAGGGCCTTTAATCTGTATTTAAGTATTTTAGACAAAAATAATTTCTATTGATTTACCCTTCTTTGTCATTAAACTCAATGATTCACCATTTTTATTACACTGTGGTTTCTTTGTAACTGAAAGTAAAATACAGAAACACAGATATACACAAATGATATGGTTCTTAGTAAGTCTTGTTAAAATAAAACATGGTGTCGAGTCATATTCTAGCCAGTAGCTTTTGCCTCACTTCCATTATTGTCTGTGTTCAAATCTGAGGCTTTCAAAGTCAGTGTGTATTTTCGGTGAAATTTTGCTCTGGTTGCTTGAAAATGAAACGCAAGATCAGGCAAGTATATTAGTAAGAGGCAGGGAGAACCTGACAACAGAACAAATCCTCTTATCCTTCAGGTGCTATGCAGTTCCCATGGAAAACTTAAAATTGCCTGTGTCTGATAGCTGCAAATATCCTATACAATGGCCTGATTTTATCTTATTTCATTTCTGTAGGAGTATGGGATAGTGAAGAGCACCAAAGAAAGATATTCAAAAGATGTTAAATCATTTAACAGGCATGCTTAGTCTTTGACCTTTCAGGTGCTTTTAGGAAGAATTCACTCAGCTTGAAATTGTTCTTGACAGCTGTCTTTCTCAGGGGCCTTACAGGAGCTGCAAGTGAAAAGAATTGTTCAAGCTACAGTGGCCCACTTCCTGAAGGAAGAGAATTTTCCATCTTATATCCTACCTGCTCCCTGTCTGCATTGAAGAATGCCTTCCAGAATACAAAACAGTCAAGAGTAGACCTGGCACTTAGCTGCTGTCTTTCCTGGGGGTACTTGGGCAGAGACAAGGAGCACACTGTAGTCAGTGCAATAGTTTGAGGTGTACCTGTCAGTGGGAGAGCTCTGGGATGCTGTGAGCAGCAAAGTTCAGCTGTGTTGTTCATAAATAGAAAACCTAGTGATGGTCATTATAAAATCATGGCAAAGTGGAAGAAGTGGCCTACCCACAGATGTTGTTGGTCAACAGTGAGCTGGAACATCATGAATATTTATTTAATGCCCCATGGAGGCCGTTCTATTCCCCTTGTTCATCTTCTGAAACATAGCCAACCATCTACATTTTGGGTATTCAAAGCGTTGGAGAAGTCCCCAGCAAAATACTGATTTTGTGTGTCCTACACGATTGCGGTATTTGGCTCCAAATTCTTTATGAAAATTTGAAGTTCGCATTTTCTGGGTTAAACACTTCCAGGTCAACCAAATGTCTTTTATTTACAGTTATCACTACTAGCTGACCTTTCCATGGTAACATGCTTCTGGTTTTGTTGCTTTTCTTATCTAGATGCTTTCGTTGGAGGGATCATTGGCCTCATTTTTGCTTATATTTGCTACAGACAACACTACCCTCCTTTGGGTAATACAGCTTGTCATAAATCTTACGTCAGCCTGCTAGATCAGAACTCTGTGAAGAAAGAAGAGAGACCTACAGCAGATAACGCTACTGGCCTGCCTCTAGAGGGAATAACTGAAGGTCCTGTATGACTTTAAGAAATGTGCAGAATGAACTTTTAGCCTTCTCACATTTCCTCCAAACTGGTCTTTTAACACGGTGTTTCTTAATGTACATGTGTTTTCTTCTGTTTCTTTCCTTTTTATAAAGAGAAATTAAGTATTTTATTTTTAATGCCATAATATCATCTTACTTTTAAAGTTAAATTTTCCATTCATATTCACTCGCTGACTTATCTGTTTTCAGTCTACTGCAAACAGATAGACTACTTGAGGGAAGGGGAAAGAACATTAATAAAAACAATCCCATGTGAAAAATGGTTAAGAGACTAATTTTAAGAAGATGTGGTTGAGGATATAGTAGATCTGGAAACAGATTTTCTGAAGTACTGAGTATCTCCTAGAAAGTTCTGGTCGTCTTCAGCACTCATTGATTTTGATGGGTGATGAGTACACACAGCACTTTTCATCAGATGTTCAGCATCTGTTGTGGCCAACCATTTCTTTATATAATTTGATAAGTTAGGGCATCATCCTTATGTTTATCTTGTTGCCTTCTAACATTAAAAAAATCTCCACATGCTGGTAGAACTTTGTATTAATTGTCAAGTTTTGACAAGGTCATTCTGAGCTACTAATGATCAAGCAGCCAAGAGTTATGAATGGCTAAGTGTTTGTAAGAGCCAAGCCTTGTGCATTAGTAGTTCCACAGGATGATTCTGACATTCAAGAAATTCCACACTGTTAAAATTATCAGCTTACAATAACATATATATTCATAGGATGGATTAGAAACTTGGTATTACATCATCAGCATTTTTTCAGGAGCTCTTGCAGTAATTACCATCTAAACAAAATGAAAGAAAAGAACACCCATGACATTCAGCAAGCTGAAGTCTTTAAAAGAAATTTAAAAAAATCCTAAAACTGTGAGGATAAAGAAACACAATGTCTTCTGTGAATCTCGGTGTGCCATGTTCATTCTTGTGTAGTGACTCACTGCAGCATTGGTGATCTAAAGAAATGCAAAGATTTTCATCTGTGACTTTGGGCGCACAACCGTGGATGCTTGTGGTGGTCTCCAGCCCTGTAACATATCCAGAGGAATGCTGGAGACAGTTCTCCACGAGACCCATTCCACATTTTCAGCTCATCATGTTCCTGAGCATGGTGTTTGCGAAGGTTGGCTTGGTACCTGAATTGAAACTCACCTGAATCAAACCACTGTTGGTATGGAGAAGATTACTAAGTGTATGACTTTAGTTAATTTATTATTGGTAGGATCCTGTTTTGTTATGTATGCACTATGCAGTATATGTCACATTCCTGTGAAATGATGTACCTTTGGATGGCAGAATGTCAGATTCCAGAATTTTTTTTCTTAGCTATCCTGTGAAAATGCAGGCAAATGTTCCAGACCACATCTTGGCAGTTGAACATTTCTTAGCTGGAGCTGCTGGTTAAAGCGATCAAGATAGCGTTGATCAACGACCATTATTACGGTGCTTTAGACTGGAGGAGACTGCTGCCATAATTATAATTTATGTGTTCCTGTTGGAATATGTATTGGCCTTGTAGGCATTTTGTGATTCAAACAGCTCAATGTCTTTATGTAAGGCTTGTCATTTACTTTTCTCAAAGGTAAGCTTTGTAGATTTTTTGAGAAGAGCTACTTCCTGATTGGCAATACTTGCATTTTTATAGAAAGCAAGTAAATTAGAATCCCTTTAAAAATAAATGTAATAATTGTGTACAAGAGGATGCAACCTTACTATGTATAAACTTATATGATATTTGGAAATAACTATAAATAGGAAATTACATTAAGGAACAGAATGTAATAGGCATGAACCCAGGAGAGTTCTGTAGAAATTAGGCCTGATCTACTTGTAGAACTGATACCAGTTTGACTGCATCAGTTAGAGGTAGGATTTTTTACTGAAAGTTACAGTATTCTGAGCTCTAGAATAGAGACAGTTACCCAAACATAACTGTGGTTTTGCTGGTGTATATGTGCTACTTCACAAAACTAGCATCAGCAAGGCAAAATTATTCTGGCATTGCATTTGCACTCGATTTGACAGAACACTCCTCTAGTGTAATCGAGGTCTTATTCTAGAAATCCACATGGTTTAGTGGAGGTTTAATCTTTCTATAAAGTTTTTAAACCATCCTACAGAATTCTGTAACAGGGATATCATTTTCTATTACTTCATATGGGAGGATTAATGAAAGCCCTAGAGTAAGGGTATAATGTCTTTACATTGTATAGGGCTTAGCCATTAGCTTTTTCTTTCAGCAGGAACCCTAGTCTTCCAGGTTATATGCAAATGTTAAAAAAAATCTTAAATCAAAATTACAAGTTTAATACTGATGCATAGAGCATTTTGCATGTTTTTATATAGATCTGGCTTATTCTCAAAAATGAGTGGGGCCTCCTAGCTGTGCTGTACACATTCCCAGTATTTTAATGGCTTTTGATACAAACAAGCTATCTTCTTTGGGACAGGGAAAGCTTGTACAGCCCTCAAATGGGTAGTGGCTGTTAAAAGATTGGAATATGAAGTATAATGCAGCATGAATACTTACACTGCGAGAGTACTTGGTGAACTTTGCAAAGCAGTAAAGAATAACATTTTAATGGGAATAATTAAATTGAAAGTCATAAAATAGACAATGTAAAAGCTTTGATTAAAATATAATTAAAATTATGAAAGACTTAATGAATTGAAACTTGTGGAGGGATCTGTAGGCGCTGTAATTACCAGTGCAAAGTCTGTGTAGGGAAGGCATTTTTGTGGATCAATGTATCTTAATCTCATGCTTTCTCAATGTGAAGGAAATGTAATGTTGTAACGCACCAATAAAACAACACATGAATGTGGGTTTGTACATCTGTGTTTTCTCATTTTTTTGACAAGAATAAAAGGTACCAAGTTAGTTTCATTAATAAACCACGTGGAGTATTTCAAAAAACAAGCCCTAACATGACTGCATTATTGATAAACAACAGCAGTTCCAAAAGTCATTGCTGATACCACCAAAATGGAACAGCCTTCCTCCTTTAACCAAAATATGCCATCCAACTTTCATCCAAGAAAATGTACAGTATAAGTCCGCAAGGTTGAAATTTTGAAATATTTAACCAGCTAAACTGCAACAGGTCCCCTTCATCTGTCAAGTTCCATATCTCAAATAATACTAGGAGTGCCATATTTAATAACAAATGTGGGTAGACTAGAAAAGGATAACAAAATCTAATCGAACACAGCAGAAATATCCTGAAACCAAGAGAAGCATGAGATTGCAAACCAGTCAGCAAAATGTTCCCATAGTGAATGCATATTTCAGGCAGTGTGTTAGTGTTATCAATTAATATGTACAATATGATTGAAATAACCGGGGAGCTGCTAAAGTCCTGTGTATAGCCCCCATCAGTTAATATTTAAAATAGGGAAACAATAAGTAGACATTATTTAGGATTTAAGAACTAACTACTAGACAATGGGGCTTTACGTTTATGTCAGAAAAGGTAGTGGATTGTGGTCTGGTCAATAAACCTTGAAGAACCGCTTGGAACTGCCAAGATTTAGGGAAGAAGTAGGTAAAAGGTAATTCCTACAGAGGGAGATGGCGACCACCGACTCATTGACCACCTACTCAAATGATACTACCTACTCCAAAGAAGACAACGAAGGAAGAAGACAGAGTCTGCGCACTAATTTACATGAGGGGTGAAGAAGAAAGAACCAATCATTAAGGAATATAACAATGAATATGTATTAGTTCAGTGTATAAATGTGAGGATTTTTGAGACAAGGGTGTGCTGTCTTGAGACAGGCACCCATTCATGCTCATCAATGAAATTAATCTGAAAATACCTCGACTCTGTGTGTTATTGGCTTGCACACCGGGTAAATAAACCCCATTTGGGGGACAATATTAGGAATAGAGCCGGAGCGTTTATGCTCATTCATTCTCAGATTTTGTTGTGTGCAATTTAGTCTGATTTGGTCTTCTAATCTTTCCCCGTGCTTACAGCAAGTTCTTTCTATTTAATGTGAAAAGAGAACCTCATTTTCCCTCTTTCTTTCCGTGGCAAAAAATACCGTGCTATGGATTGGGGGGGGGGGGGGGGG